AGTAAGAGAAAGAGATGGAGAAGTTAAGAGAGCCAGGTAGACACAAATAGAATTTTAGACTATCTTGACTCAGCTGACTAAAACTCTTGGTCATTTGACATGCATTAAATCTTTCTTCTGGAGAAAAAAAATGAACTTGGCTAAGATGGACTGTCATTTGCAGAGTGCAGGACCACAAAACTTGAGCCATTTTATTCCCAAAAGATAATTTGTATATATTACAAAAGGAGTAAAAAAAAGCAAGGGATTATTGACAAAGCCTTTACATCTATTCATAAGAATTTTTATACACCTGTGTATCAGTTATCTATTGTTGCAATAACAAATTATTCCCAAACTTAATGGCTTAAAATTATAATAATTATTTATTATCTCACACAGTTTCTGTAGGTCAAGAATTCCAAGGTGGTTCATTCACATGACTAACAAGTTCACCTTGGCTATTGGCAATTGTCTTCAGTTCCTCTCCTCCACAGAGCTGCTTGAGAATTCTCAAAACATGGTGGCTGGCTTCCCTGGGGAGAGAGATTAAAGAGAAGACAAGACAGAAGCCACAATATCTTTTATGACCAAGCTTCAGAAATTGTACATTTTTCTTTCCCCCAAGATCCTATTGGTTACACAGGTCAAGTCTACTGATTATGGGAGAAGATCACATAAGATCAAGAATGCCAGAAGGAATAGCTCATGAGGCACCACAGCTTGCTACTTCGTAATATTTCCACTACAGAATAGAGGAAGGTTGCCCCAAACAAAAAAGGGGCATTCTAACAAATGTCATCCCTGTCAATCATCTCAGATATAAAAGAGAAATGCAGTACACCTCACTGTCAAAAGGAAGCAGTGTTTCTTGAACTTAACTCTGAATGAAATTTTTGTCCATTTCCTAAAGACAAGGCATAATATGGATGTGGAAAGATTCATCTTTGTTGCTTAGACCAAAAAAATAAAACATGAAACCTCATTAGTAGAGCACTGGGAAACCAGTGTGTTGATATATCTGATTTTTAATTTTATTTTCAATGGAAAATAAAAGAGGCATTGCTATAAAAACTCTTCCAATTAATGTCTGTTTCCTAAAATCCTAACCTACTCATTGCTTTATGAAAATAACCAACTAAATTAGAATCTGGCAAGGAGAATGGAGTTTTTCCTGATCTCTGTCCAAAGAATTATAAGCAGCAACTGGTGTGTACCAATTACTAAGGGAGAGTTTGTCCACTCCCACCTTTGTGCACTACCATTGTGTAAGCCCCCAAAACTTGTGTATAACCCCGGAAAGGTAGGTAAAACCCAAATAGCACAATGAAGGCTTAAGCTAAATTAAGACAAAGAAAGACAATGTAGGTTATATTTCTTTCACACATATCCAAAATAGCCACTACCCATGGATTCTGATAAAAATCGAACCAATGTTTGAAGTAGAAGACAAAAATATCACTAATTTTATCTACATGAAACAAAACAATTTGGAAACTTAATCCATTTAATCATTCCACTCAGTCAACTCAATTTATTTTTTTTAAAGATTTTACTTTATTTTATTTTATTTGAGAGAGAGAGAGTGAGTGCATGAACAGGGGGAAGGGCAGAGACAGAGGGAGAAGGACAAGTAGACTCCCCGTGGAGCAGGGAGCCTGATCCCAGGACCCTGAGATCATGACCTGAGCCAAAGATGCTTAACTGACTCAGCCACCCAGGTGCCCCTAGTCAACTCAGAAAAAATCTTCAAAGAAGGTTTTAAACAAAATTATATTGTAGGGTCTTACTTCTATTAAGAATAATAAAAATAATAAATCACTTGTACATTCAGCACTATACTAGGCATATTTTTTCATTTGTCTCGAAAAAACTGAGAATTGTGCATTATTATTTATAATTTACACATGTGAAATCTGAGAGTCAGGTTAAATAACTTACCCAAGAATATTTAGTAAAGCCAAGGTTGAAATTCCTGACTCCAAAACCTGTGTTCCTACACTCAGCTTATGATCACCAATAAAGTAGTCTCCTTTTTTAACACAAGGCAGATTTAAAATATTTTGAGAAATCTTATATATAACATAGAAAGACAAAAAATTGACCATCGTTATCAATTCTAACAAGTACCCACTATGCCCAAAATACTCTAAGATTTAAAAAATAATATAAAAACATATTTCCAAAATTAAGCAGTGTGGCATGGTAACAGCAGTGAGATGGAACATGACACCTAAAATGAAAAATTTCTTACCACACAGTGGGCTCTGTAGTCCAAGGTATTGACTACAAAACTGCTCAGACCAGACATAAGGGAAAAGGTCTACTAATTAGCTCTAAGAGAAAACCTTAGATGTCTTCACTTTATAAAATATTCTTCATCTACCATATTTCCTCATTCTCATCTAGTTACAACTATCAGGAAAATTTAACTTTGAGACTTTTGAACACTTGTGATTGTTAGCCAAGGGTCTCTTTATCCATGCTTTTAGAGAAACCAAGTCACAAGAAGTCAACTCTGCCCAAGCCATTCAAATGGAGGAAGCCAAAGAATTTTGCCTCATGTCTTCAAGTATAGTATTTTACTTGTCCTTGTAACATAGTCATATACCCAAAGTTTCCTAGTCCTTTGGAAAATGAGATAGTGTATATATATATATATATATATATATATACATATATATATATGAAGATTATAAAACAATGCAGAGGTTTTATTATTTTAGTAGTACATAGACTTTGGAGTTAATATTAATCTACTCATGATTATATAGAATTACTATTTTATCACTTCATTCTGTGCAGCTATATCACTGCTCAGAAATTTTTTTATTCAAGTATAATTAATATACAGTGTTATATTAGTTTCAGGTGTACAATTTAATGATTCAACAATTCTATCCATTGCTCAGTGCTCATCACAATAAATGTACTCTTAATCCCCCTATTTCACCCACACCCCCACTCACCTTCCCTCCCACCAGTTTGTTCTGTATAGTAAAGGTCTGGTTTTTTTGTTTGTCTCCTTTGTTCTTTGTTCATTTGCTTTGTTTCTTAAATTCCACACACAGGTGAAATCACATGGTATTTGTCTTTCTCTGATTGACTTATTTCACTTAGCATTATACCCTCTAGGTCCATCCATGTTTTTGCAAATGGCAAGATTTCACTTTTTTATGGCTGAGTAATATTTCACTGTGTATATATACGACATCTTCCTTATCCTTCCATCTACCGATGGACACTTGGGCTGCTTCCATAGTTTGCTATAGTAAATAATGCTGGAATAAACATAGAGGTGCATATATCTTTTCAATTAGTGTTTTCGTTTCCTTTGGGTAAATACCCAGTAGTGAAATTACTGGATCATATGGTAATTCTGTTTTTGATTTTTTGAGGAATCTTCATACTGTTTCCCACAGTGGCTACACCAGCTAGCATTCCCACCAACAATGCAAAAGGATTCCTTTTTGTCCACATTCTCATCAACACTTATTATTTCTTGTTGGTTTTGATTCTAGCCATTCTGACAGGTGTATGGTAGTATCTCACTGTGGTTTTGATTTGCATTTCCCCTATGACGAGTGATGTTGATTATCTTTTCATGTTTCTGTTGACCATCTGTATGCCTTGTTTGGAAAAATGTCTATTCAGGTCCTCTGCCCGTTTTTTTTTTTTTTAAGATTTATTTATTTATTTGAGAGAGAGTGATCAGGGGGAGGAGCAGAGGGAGAGGGAGAGAGAATCCTCACGCAGCTCCCCACTGAATGCAGAGCCTGACAACAGGGCTGGATCCCAGGACCCTGGGCTGAAATCAAGAGTCAGCCACTTAACCAACTAAGCCATCCAGGTGCCTTCTGCCCATTTTTAATTGGATTATTTGGGGTTTTTTGCTGCTGAGTTGTATAAATTCTTTGTATATTTTGGATATTAACCCCTTATTAGATACATTATTTGCAAACATCTCCCATTTAGTAGGTTGTCTTTTTGTTTTGTTGATGCTTTCCTTCACTCTGCAAAAGCTTTCTATTTTGGTGTAGGCCCAATAGTTTATTTTTGCTTTTGTTTCCCTTGCTTGAGGAGACGTATCTAGAAAAATGTTGCTGATATCAAAAAGATTGCTGCCTATGTTTTCTTCCAGGAATTTTACAGTTCAGGTCTCACATTTAGATCCTTATACCTTTTTGAGTTTATTATTATATATGGTAATAGAACGTGGTCCAGTTTTCCCAACACCATTTGTTAAAGAGACTGTATTTTCCCCATTGTGTCTTGTTGCTTCCTTTGTGATAGATTAATTGACCATATAAGTGTGGGTTTATTTCTGGTCTCTCTATTCTATTCTATTGATTTATGTGTCTATTTTTGTGCCAGTACCATACTGTTTTGATTACTACAGCTTTGTAGTACATCTTAAAACCTGGGACTGTGATACCTCCAGCTTTGTTTTTCTTTTTCAAGACTGCTTTGGCTATTTGGTTGGGTTTTTTTGTTTTGTTTTGTTTTGTTATTTGTTTCCACATAAATTTTAGGATTATTTGTTTTAGTTCTGTGAAAAATACTGTTGGTATTTTGATAGGGATTGTATTAAATTTGTAGATTGCTTTGGCTAGAATGGACATTTTAATAATATTTGTTTTTCCAACCCATGCGCATGGAACATATCTCATTTGTTTATGCTATCTTTAATTTCTTTCATCAGTGTTTTATAGTTTTTGGAGTGCAGGTCTTTCACCTCCTTGGTTAAGTTTATTCCCAAGTATTTTGTTCTTTTTAGTGCAACTGTAAATGAGATTGTTTTACTATTTTCTCATTCTGCTACTTCATTATTAGTACACAGAAATGCAACTAGTTTCTGCATATTAATTTTGTATCCTATGACCTTCCTGAATTCATTTATCAGTACTAGTAGTTTTTTAGTGGAATTTTTAGGATTTTCTATATACAGTATCATGTCATCTGCAAATAAAGTTTTACTTCTTCCTTACCAATTGGGATGCCTTTTATTGATTGATTTTTTTTAAAATATGGAACACTTCACGAATTTGTATATCTTCTATGCACAGGGGCCATGCTAATCTTCCCTGTATCATTCCAATTTTTTAGTATATGTGCTGTAGAAGCAAGCACTATTTCTTCTTCTTGTCTGATTGCTGTGGCTAGGACTTCCAGTACTATGTTGAATAAAAGGGGTAAGACCAGACATCCTTGTCTTGTTCCTGATCTTAGAGGAAAAGCTCTCAGTTTTTCTGCATTGAATATGATGTTAGCTGGGGTTTTTCATCTTTGGCCTTTATTATGTTGAGGTATGTTCCCTCTAAATCTACTCTGTTGACAGTTTTTATCATGAATTGATGTTGTACTTTGTCAAATGCTTTTTCTGCATCCATTGAAATGATCATATGGTTTTTATCCTTTCTCTTATTAATGTGATGTATGATATAGCTTGATTTGTAAATATAGAAGCACTCTTGCATCTCTGGGATAAATCCCATTTGATTGAGGAGAATGATTTTTTTTTAATGTATTGTTGGATTGAGTTTGCTAGAATTTTGTGGAGGATTTTTGCATCTACGTTCATCAGAGATAATGGTCTGTAGTTTACTTTTTTTAATAGTGTCACTGTTCAGAAATTTTTGAAATGGGTTTTTGCAAATTGGAAAGAAGAGGGGTGGCTGCAGGAAATATTTCTTAAGTTGTTAGAATTCCATTCTCAGATGACTTCTTTTTAGACTGCTGTACCTCACCAGTAGCAGGCTGGCACTGATGAGAAAACAAAAATAATTATGTAATTATTATGAAACTCTGTGTTCAAAGGTACTTTTTACTTCACAAATGGCAGGGGAGTGGGTAGGGAACCAGCCCCCTTGTCTCATGTAATTTCCTCCAAAGCAACTGAAGACATATAAGAAAGTTTATAGCATTAGTTCAATGTGCATCCAAGATTTTCTTGCTCTTAATGGTCAGATTCACTGTGCGGTTTAATAGCCAAAATCCTTCCCACAAAATAAGAAAAGGACTGAAATGCCATCAGAAACTCAAAACAGCTTTTGAAAAAGTGAAAAGATTTAAAGTTCAGCATATTTATGTCTTATTTCACTATCTTCAGTGTTTTGAAAAATGCTAAAAGCAGAATTAATACTTAAAATCCCACCATGAAAAGGTTTCCTGTTTTTAAGTTTACTGAAAATACTGAAGTTCCTTTTGTAGGATAGCTTTCATCAGTATTAAAGAGACAACAGATATGATTGCATTTTAAATACTCATCACGTAAATTCCTCAATTATTTGAATTTTTAAACTCTTGGAAGTGCTACTACCTATACAAAGGTGATTTTATTTTATTAAATGTCTCTAGACTTTCAATAGAATCTAGAATAGAAGTAGATAGAGTTTCAACTTCCTTATTTAAAGTGCTTTCTGTAATTCTTACATTCAACAGAGGACTAATGCAAATAGAGCCGAGGGTTACATGGAACCCTTAACAGGCCAGGAAAGAATCCCAGGGTGTGCTTATTGGTTTTTCCCAACCACTGTCTTTATGGGTTCATTTCACATCTGATCTCACACCTTGGAAAAAATACAGGTCTGAAGGGTCACTTGAATGAGAGATTTTTCTCTTTATAACACCAATAGAAATTGAGGGCTTTGATATTGTCATGGAAATGACTCTGTAAATAGGGCTCAAAGGCCTATTTCAAACCAGTATGAGCTGGAACAATGTTTTCTTTTTCTTTTCAGGTTATGAGATTGGAGTATGTGTAGAGAGGACCTCTGGTCAAGATAGTGGGAGGAAATGGGGGAAAAAAAGTATGCCTGAGAGAATTCCTCTCACTTGATGTCAGCAAGTTGTATAGGACAGCTTTATTCAAAAAAAGGTGTTTGTCTTTTCCTTCAGGTGCACAAAGACACAGCCTGTTGAGAACTGGAGAGGAAAGGTAGGAAAAATATGAAAGAAAAAATGGAACAGGTCATTAGTCTCTTATCCTCAGTTTTAAAAAGGCAAGTTTCATCCTGGAAATTACGACACACACAAACGTTAAAAAAACTTTCTACTTTTCAAAGCAAGTAATTGATTTTTTTTTAAGTAGGATTTGAGAAAGAAATAATGTTTCAGCAAATATTTAAATACCTAATTAAATCAGTGTTTGCTTTGGTGTTTGTATCATGTAGAACCTTATTTTCTTTTAACAAAATGCAAAAAAATAAAACCTTTACTTCCCTTAAAAAAAAAAAAAAGAATAGATTGAAGACAGGGAAGTGATAATGAACTGTTCTTTAAAAAATATTCACCCTCATACTCATACTGAGACTATTAAATTGGATTTCAGGTTTTAGGATCTCAATGTTATCTTAATTTCTAGCCTTCTTAGCAGTATTTAAAAATAAAAATGCAAGGGTCTTCCCCACTTCATACAAATCAAAAATTTTTGGAGAAACAAACATAGAGAAAAGTCCCTGGATTTAAGCTTGGAGGACAATTTAAAGCTAATAATATTGATTATTGGTGCAAAGCATGGTATTTTCAAAGTCACAATATAGTCCGTATCCTGCCCCTGACTTTAAGGCACATCCTTTTATAAAACACTCTATTGACTCTTTTAATATTTGTTCTTTGAGTCCGGGGAGCAAGTGAAGGAAGACTTCTCTAGTTGTTCACAGCATCGATGCATCCATCAACACCTCCTTGACCTTTGAAAAAAAGTTAATGTCTTGTCACTGCTAAATAAGCTTGGGAAATATTTCTGTTGGTCACCTACCTTGTGGCAACTAGAAACTGTCTAAAAAGCATTTAATAAAGCATCTTAGAATGAGAGATAATGAACAGTTACTACTGAATTTTAACATAGGGGAGTTCCATTTTAAAAGTAGCCCAGCTTAATGGAGTGAGTATCTAAATTAATTCGCATTACATTACCTTATGCCCAAAGGCAACTAACTCAGATCCTATGGAAGCAATCCTTCCAGGTGGAGTTGGTAGTACTTGGACTTTTAGGTGAGAGTACTCTGTTTCTGTGAGAAAATAAAATCTGCAACTGGCTTCTAGCTTCACTTTTAATGTATTTGCATCCACCCTGGTGAAAGAATAAGAGTGACTTGCTATTCTTTCTATTCAAGACATGTCTTCTATTTAGAGGCACATTCATAAATGTTTGAGAAGTACGCTTTTAACATTAATCAAGAAATTACATAAAATGAACTGAGTGTAACCTCTATTGAAGATTAATATTCAATACATAGCACCTATAAAGATAACATGATTCTCTCTTCAACAGACATAAAAACAATATAAAGCACTGAGTAGGGCACCTGGGTGGCTCAGATGGTTAAGCACCCACCTTCGGCCCAGGGTCCCTGCTCAGTGGTCCCTCTCCCTCTAGTGCTCCCCCTGCTTGTCCTCTCTTGCTCTGTCAAATAAATAAATAAAATCTTGTTTTTTTTTTCTTTTTTTAAAGCTCTGAGTAGTTCACATGAAAGAAAGAAAGGATAAGAAAAGAAAAAGAAAAAAGAAAGATTGCTCCTATTTTCCAAAATGGGGATTAGGCAATATAAGAAAAATAACTTTCCAAAGACATAAAGATTGGAATTAAGATTCAGGAGACTCTCAAATCCTAGATACTTCTGATGCTGAATTAAATTTCTCTCTCTTTGAAAGAGTATGAGTCATTTCCCAGAAGCCTCATGCCAATATAAGGACTTAGGAAAAGGTGGGAAAATGGGGCCTTTAAAAAAAAAGCCAATCTTGTAATGAGCAAAAACAGAAATTCCTCTTGTATGAAAAAGTCAAATACAGTCTCCAGTGTCAAAGACCTTGAGCTTAATCCTATTATTCAATCAAATCTGAAATAGGCTAAAATTTTAATTTTGTATAGTTCTTCATAGTTTACAAAGTTTTTCAGTAATTCTATCCCTTTAGCTATGTATTTTCTTCATAGCAATTGTCGATACCTGACATATTAGACATTTATTTGCTTATTTCTTTATTATCTTTCTCCTACTGCTAAAATGTAAGTTCCATAAAAGCAGGGATGTTATCCTGCATTGTTCATTTCTATATCCCCCGCATCCACAGCAATGCTTGGTGCATCGTAAACAATGGGTATTTGTTGAATGAATAATTGTGATAAATAAAATGGATAAACACTACTGCATTTGAGCCTTGAAACTCCCAGAGAAAAAGACATGTATTTCTCACCCTCTTTACAGATGAGAAAACCAAGACTCAAAACAGTAAATTATTTATAATAGTATAAACAGTTAAATGGGGGGAGTCAGAGTCATAATTAGAAAGATCCAGGTCCATTATAGTACTACTTTTTGCTGACTTGTGGAAAGGGACTAGATTATGGGTAGTCAAAGATTACCACCTTTCAGGAAGATTGATGCAAGAGAAAAAAAAATGAATAAGTTCACATCCTTCTCTAAAACCACAGCTGTCAACCTTTCTCAGCCTTCTTTCCTCTTTGATCACTTCCTAAATTAAATTCCCCTGCTGATATGTTTGTTGCCCCAGCACCCACTTTGTGCTTATGATTTCCCTCCTGGTATCTTCTCTTCCTACAGATAGCATTTATTGAGCCCCTTTTACACAATGTTAGGCATTTTTCACTGTCCCCTCACAACCAGGAAACTGCAGATCTATCAGGCTTCAAAGCCAGACTCTTTCCCCACCAGACTGCCTCCATGGAAGACCCTGCTCCTTAGACGCAGCTCTTGGGAGGCCCACAACAGCACCCACCATCCCCCTTGACAAGGGAACTCAGCAAAAACTTGACCCTCTACTGGTTAGCTGCAGGGGTGCTGTGGTATATGAGTACAACACAGGCAAGAGGACTCTGATTATTAGCACATACCCGGACAGGTTAGAGGTATCTGAACCCACCCAGCCCAGGATTTGATTTACAATTGTAACAAGAAAGAAGGTAATAATCCAGCCAGTAGTTATTTTGCAGGACTCAGTCCCTGATGTTAATGGTTGGGTCAACTTTATCTTTCTCCTTCACTAGCTACACCAAAACATTTTTGTTAAGATATGCTATCCTTTATTTCCACCTCCTGCTCTTTCTTGCCTTTTCTTCTTAGTGAAACACTAAGTTCATTCCTTTTAGAGCTAGTAGTAAGCAGCTACAG